GGATGTGAATAGCGCCAAACATAAGATGCGTTTAGCCATACAGAAGTAACTATTTCGGCTAATTAGCATAGCTGTCCTGTACAGAACACCTGATCTGCATAAATAGACATAAAAAACTACCAGATCGGTGCCATCTTTATTTTGCTAGAAAAGGTGTTTATGATAAAGAAGCTAACTGAAAGAGCACCTTTTTTGAAAAAGACAAACGATCGACTTGCTGCTGCTCGGTTTTGTCACCATTAACACTTCTGTCCTATAAATGCCTATCACATATTTCTCACCTAGAACTCTTTTTTCAAAAAAATATTTGAATTATATCGTCTTCTCTTATCTTTGGTTTATTAATCATGTTCCTCAATATTCCTCTTGCATAAATCTTACTGTTCTTCTGAGAATCCCTCTATGCCATTCTCTTGTCATTAATCAATGTCATTTTAATGAATATCAATTAAGAGTAAGCAATAGAAAACATTAAAATTTAAAGGTGTTGTACAATTGAACGCAGCGTTTTGTTACATCATATAAATTGCGACACCTTAAAGTTAAAGACCCTGGCAGGGGTTTTCTGTTGAGCCAAGACACTTACTGAAACACTTCCTGCAATGTCTAAAGTTATTCGCATGTTCCTAAAAAATTCCAGGAAAGGCTAATAAGAAACTTAGAGGTAGCTGAACGGTTATCAGACCAGAAGGAACATAATCTGTCACTGTTAAAAGAATTGCTAATGCGATTACAAAGCAGTGTTTCTAAGTTTGTAGAACAGGATGAGGAGTATATAAATTACCTTAGTAACCGCCCAGCAGATTGACCTACTAAAGAAGAAGAAATATATGTTTGATATGCCCAAAATAAGGACTGCTTTCTAGAAATAGCAGTGAAAGCTACAAATGCGAGAGATAAAAATTCCTGTTTACTTGAGGAACTACAAGAAAAAGAAAATTGAAAAATTAGTCGGCTTCTGAACCAGACAATTAAAACTTTAACTTCAGAATCCTCCGCAAGTGGACACAAAGTAGCGAAGTTTAAGCTTTCCAAATATACGCTATCCATCTTTAACAATGATCTTTTACTGTGGAAGAAATTTTCAAAAAGTTTCAACGCATCTGTAGATTTAAAAGACTTGCCTCCAGCTCAGAAGTTCTCTTACTTAAAAAGACGCTCAAAAGGTAAGGCACTCAGTTCTATCGGAGAAATGCTGTCAACAAGTGCTAATTATGAGATGGTCAAAGATCTCTTAAAGAATCAGTTTGGCGATTCAGATGTCACGAGACAATTACTTTATAACCAGTTCAAAAAACTAACAGTGGCAGCAAAACTTTTGTAATAAAAACTGAAAAATTCCTCAAATTACTAAAAAATCAAAGCAGCAATCTAGAAAACCCCAAAGAGACGCTTTTGGAGGCTAGCCGGATAGAGATACCAGCTCCGGCCAATAAGCGAAAAAAAAATTAGCTAGCTGAACTTCACATTTTACATTATTATTAACTGTTCCAACAGAAGTTGCTCCTGCGTGTAGTGACTTCTGAAGATTCAAATACTTAAACTTCTTCTTCTTGCGACCTCGTGTCAAGTTTGGCTTTTCGTTCTTGTCAATTAATCCTATTGTATTGTTCTGAAACAGTTAATCAAATAATTAACAAGTTTGCTTTTATTCCTGTGTTTTAGTGTTTAACATTAGTGAAGAGATTAAATTATCGCTCCTTAGAATACAAGCAGAAAGGGGAAGTAATAGAAACTTAAGTAGGAACTAGTCATACGGTAAGTTACAGTAACTACAGTCCTCTAGAATCGCGCGTTCTTGTAAGATAATAAGCGACTTACATCTTACAAGATTTATATCTTACAAGAAAATAAGATGAAGAGAGAGAAGTTCTCCTTAGGAACATATAGAGGAAAGGTTATAACAAGCGCTTCTTCACTTTGATGATTCTGTGGTAGCCGCGACACAGTTCCTTCTTCGAATGCTGGATGAAAATAGGCTGCCTCACTGCACTTTAATAGCAATTAGAGAAAGACAGTTTTCACTAAAACAGTTAGGCGTGCAGGTGAAAAAAGTCCCTGAACAGAGACACTTTTGGAAAATCTTAATTAATTAGAGAAACAATTGTGGGACTGTGTGAATATTGAAATGTCGGTACGAAAGAAGGAGGTAGTAGCGAAAAATCTCTGACGTTTAGCAGACAAAGTCATTCAGCAGTGCCAGTCATGATTAATAATAAGAAGCATTTAAAAAATATTCTGACGAACAGAGTATTATATTGTTGAGTTATACTTTTTCTTAATCTCTAAAGATGGAAGAAGAGGGGTTGGTGGATTGAAAGTCTGTTTGAATTTTTTGAAATGTGCCAACAAAGTATCAATTGTGCGCATACGGTAGGATGCTTTTACCGTAGAAGCAATTGCCACAACGTAAATATGTCTCAAAAGAGGAAGCTTTACTCTTTACTTTTTATCCAAGTTACGGAACAGAAACAGCAAACGCAAATCTTTAGCTTGGTTGACCATGAGCGTAATCAGGTAGCTTTGCAAATTTAGAGATACCTCGTAGCTAAAATGGCGGCGGCAACTATGATTATTTAATGTTATTATGAAGGATCAGTACAGTTGTTGTAGTCGGCACTATATGTTAACTGTAAATTCAGACTTTTGACATCTCATTGAACCTTGTAAGAGTTAGGTGACAATGTAGTAGGCCCTCCCAAAATTAAAGAACAGCTTTTGAATGAATAACTGCTATACCTCCAAATACAATATAACGTCTAGACATTTGATTATTCCATCTACAAGGTAAAGGTCAGGCTATTATCCTGCTTACCAAAATTAAGCGTATAAAATTTTGAGGTAGAGAAAGTCAGGGCTTTCTTGATTTATTCATTCATCCATTGATTATCAATTTTCGTTAACTATCTTCTCCTCTGATTTGATTGAAATTTTTACTCTGATTCCCAAGATTAGTTTTCCTTTTTCCCAAGTTTCTATCCACTTTGCGTATCGCTTTGACAATCTATCCTTTAGTGTTAAACACGTTCTTTCTTCGCTTTACATTGATATATCGGTAATTTTTCTATCTGTTCCTTCGATAATTTTAATTGATCTCTAGCTTGTCTTATTTTATAGCTTGTGCTTCTCATCGTTA